CATTTTGGGTCGGGACCCTTCTTCACCTGCTCCTCTGATGCTGCCTGGCCTGCTGTGTTCCTCCAGCTCCACACTGTGTTATCTCTGACTCCAGCATCAGCAGTTTATATTCCATTTTTATATTTCATTTGTTTACGTTACAGCTCTATGATTCAATATTGAGTTCCACAACTTCAGAGCAGGAAGCCTGTGCTCCATTCACCTTACATCTCCCCCAACTCCCCCCACTCCCACCCCACGCCCCCCGGGCATGTCTTGTTTACTTTCAGCAGCGTAGACCCATTTTCTATCATGCATTTTATCACTGCCTTTGTCATTTGCTTTGGACATCCTCACAGTCTTCCAGTCACCAACACTTTAACTCCCTTTCCACTCCCTGGGTGACACTTCCATCCTGGGCCTCCTCCAGTGCCTCAATGACACCACCTGCAAACTGGAGGAACAACACCTCATATTCCATCTCGGGAGCTTACAGCCTAAACATGGATTTTACTAGTTTCAAAATCTCCACACCCCCAGCCTCATCCCATGACCAACCCTCCTTCTCACCCTGCCTCTTTGACTTGACACAACCTGTCTCAAGTCTTCTCTCCTACTTATCCATTTGTGATTAAACTGCTGTTTAACTTCTAATAGTGTTTAACTGATGTAATTTAATAGTGTATTTAATTACTGTCCTCTGTATTGCTGATTGTGTCAATTTCACTGTCTATTACATTTGCCTTTATTTCATGTATTATACTTACCTTTTGTATTTAATAAACTCAGAGATTATTTTACCCTGAAACAACTGTCTACTGTCTTCTTCATTTCACATTCCTAAATAAGTGGTGTCAGAACTAGGGATCTGGGGGTAATTCCAACCACCAAAAAAAAAAAATCAGCAAATTACTCATTGCAAACCAGAACCCTGTAGCAGGTTTGGCAGCATCTGAAGAAGGGCCACTAGAGCGGAAACATAACTCTGATTTCTCTCCACAGATGCTGCCAGACCTGCTGAATTTTTCCAGTAATTTCTGTTTTTGATTCAAGAAACTGTGCTTCTTGTCCAGGGAAACATAGCCCATTCCACCACTTACAAAATTCACTCTAGTCACCACCAACCAGCACAGTGACAACAATGTGTACCTTTTACAAAATGCACTGTAGCAACTCATCAAGGTGCCTTTGTCAGCACTTTCTGAACCTACAACATTTACTACCTAGAAGAGTAAGGGCAGCAGCAGCATGGGAACATGACCATGTTCAAGTTCCCTTCAAATCACACTGTCCTGTCTTTGAACTTCTTTGGTGCTCCTCCTTTGTTGGGTCAAACTCCTGGAACACACTCTTTAACAACAATGTGAGTGTACTTATACCCTGTGGGCTGCAGCAGTTCAAGGAGGCAGCTCACTATCACCTTCTCAGGAGCTGTAGGGATGGGCAATAAATAGTGGCAATGCCAACAAAACCCACAGCCCAAGAACTAATAAAAAAAATCCATATCATCCCCAATCACAACTCCTAATTTTTTTACATAGAGATATATAGTACAGAAATCAGACCCTTCGGTCCAACTCGTCCATGCCGACCAGATATCCTATATAAATCTAGTCCCACTTGCCAGCATTTGGCCCCTATCCCTTTAAACCCTTCCTATTCATATACTCATCCAGATGCCTTTTAAATGTTGTAATTGTACCAGTCTCCACCACTTCCTCTGGCAGCTCATTCCCATACACGCACCATCCGCTGTGTGAAAAAGTTGCCCCTTAGGTCCCTTTATATCTTTCCCCTCTCACCTTAAATCTATGCCCGCTAGTTTTGGACTCCCTCATCCTGGGGAAAGACTTTGCTTATTTACCTATCCATGCCCCTCATGATTTTATAAACCTCTATATGGTCACCCTTCAGTCTCTGATGCTCCAGGGAAAATAGCCCCAGCCTATTCAGCCTCTCCCTATAGCTCAAGCCCTCCAACCCTAGCAACATCCTCGTAAATCCTTTCTGAACCCTTTCTAGTTACACAATATCCTTCCTATAGGAGGGAAACCAGAATTGCATGCAATACTCCAAAAGTGGCCGAACCAATGTCCTGTACATCTGCAACATGACCTCCCAACACCTATACTCAATGCACTGACCAATAAAGGGAAGCATACCAAACACCTCCTTCTCTATCCTATTTATCTGTGACTCCACTTTCAAGGAACTATGAACCTGCACTCCAAGGTCTCTTTGTTCAGCAACACTCCCCAGGACCTTAACATTAAGTGTATAAGTCCTATCCTGATTTGCCTTTCCAAAATGCACCACCTCACACTTACCTGAATTAAGCTCCATCTGCCACTGTTCGGCCCATTGGCCCATCTGATCAACATCACCACACCTTCAATTTTAGCGTCTTGTAGTATGTACAGTGACTTAATGCAATACTTCCTCAAAAATCAGAAACACTATTCCCCCCTTATTTGTGCAAACGTTCTGAAAGATTCGTCAAATGCAACTTCCCTTCCATAAATACGTTTTGACTTTCAAATGCCATTAACACATCCGAATAATAGAATCTTGCATTTTGCCGAACACTGGTGTCAGGCTAATTGGCTCATTACGTACTGTTTCTCTCTCCTCCCTTCAATAGTTTTTGTTACCTTTCAAATCAAATGGGCGAAAAATTCTAGCATCTGAGAAATTCTGGAGTGTCAATATGCGAAAAGATAGTGCCTTGCGACAATGCTGTTCGTCTCTGTTTGAAATGACAAGTCTAAAGCGACCATCGGGACCGTCGCTCTTGCGCGTATAAAAGTTAATTCAATTCCTCACCCCCCTTCACTCTCCACCTCCTCGGAGCTGAGAGAAGCAAAACGAACAGCTGCAGCATCTGCATCTGCATCTGCATCTGCATCTCCATCCTCCAGGACTCGTTCGCTTCTCTTTCTCTTCCTGGCCGCCTTTCTCGGACTCCGCTCCGGCCCGAACTGACTAAGTTCTTTCCGCACTTGTTCCTCCAGGCGAGGCACGGCCTCCTTCAGGCTTTGCACCTCGCCCTTCACCTCCTCCAGGCTACGGATCAGCCCGCTAAGCGTCTCCAAGATGTCGGCCTGACGCGGGGAGGGCGGCCTGGGACCGGAGGCTTTTAAACGGTTGCGAAACTCGGCCCGACTCCTCACTGCGGTGATGCTGCCTTCGTTCTCTTTGGTCCTTCGGTACCAGGAGACCGCCAGCGTGAGGCCGGCCACTCCGATTCCCACCCCCGCTAACAAGCCCAACACCAGGGCCTTGCCATCGGTTGACTGCGTCATGCCCGCGAGCGCTAGCCGTTGCTATAGTCGGTTAGAAGTGAGCGCGAGCAGCATCTACAATCTGGAATCTAATCGCCAGCTGCTCACCCTCACATTAACCTTCATACAGAACAACTCGCTGTTATTAGCTCCAACAACAAAACAACTTCTCCCCTCGTCTGCTGTCACACGCGGTTAATAACCGCCCACTCGGAATTCTCTACTCCCGGCTGCAACAGCCTATTTTTGCACCGTGAGTGACAGCAGGAAAGCGAAAGTCTATTGAGCACTCACTGAGAGGTAGTTTTTACATTCTTTTATAAAAAAGTTCATTGTCGTAAATTATTGATCTGCCACCGCAAAATGATTATTTCAATTCATAGCTCTGAAATCCTCTGAAAATTTATTTCTATTTACAACCCATTGCGCAACATTACAGCGAATGACATTTTTTGCTCCATCTACCATACGCCATAACTGTTGACGGTTCACCTATAATTAAATGAAAAATCGGCTGCATTTCGGTGTTTGCTCAACGTCAACTTGGGTTCACTTAGCGTTTCATAGGCATATTAACAAATGAAGTTGGAAACCGAGTCACGTGTGATCTTGGGAAAGTGACCAAAACTTCACAGTAGCACGTGTTAGTCCCATTTCCCATTTTGGTGTAAACGTCAAGCCGACACGAAACCTTGCAAGAATCACCATAGGACCCAACTTAAAATAATTACTTTCTAGGCTTCTCTGACCCTTGGCCCCATGCTTAGTAGGTTTTACCTAGCAGGAAAATCATTCCTAGTCAAGATTTGGCTTAAAATGGTATTGTCAGGAATGATATCGTTACTGAGGCTGTTTTGCTTACTTGAGGTTTTCCAAAGTGGCTTATTTGACGTTCTTGCCATTTGCAAGAAAACAAAAATCCACATTGTGGAGGAGAATGAGTAGTCAAATCCACTGGGCTATGAGGATTAATATTTATAGGACAATTAGGTTTATCTTGATGAATGTAGTTTCAGAAACCTTAAAGTGGAATCAGGATCTCCAGAGGAGTTGAGTTGAAATGTAAAGGTGCCTTTTTACTTGGTGTTCTAAAATCCTGATTCAAATGATCAGATTATTTAGGTTCAGTTTTATGCTTTTATTTTGGTTAAAACAGATCTTATAGCAATCCAGACTGTAAAAACATGGGAATAAGGGAAAATTCAGGAAAAGACTGACTCCATGTATTACAACTCATTTGGGAAAGTGCACTGATCCTCAAGTTTGACTACTCCTAGGGCGACCACAGAAATTAATGATTTAATCAAAAACTTCCAAAATTCCTGATTTACTTTTGGAATCAAGTTAACAGAAAACACTACCCAAGTTCCTGTACTTAACAACTGTTTATTACAAGTAAGCAAATTCTACTCGTAAGTAAGGCCTGCCCTATCAACATATGTTTCTACTAATTAAAACTCCAATCATCTTTTAAAATCCCTTCACACACATACAAACAATCACAGACTAACAAAAAATGTTCTGTGGGTGGACGGAAGACAAATGGGAAAACATGGTTCTACAGCAGGAGTCCCTAGGGTTTGATAAAATGTTACTTTTGGCTTGCCAGGACTTTCTGTTCTTCAGTCTCCCAGATTCTTTCGCTGCTTCATAGGAGGCACAATGCAATTGGTATGCCAACTACAAAGTCTGTTATAGGTTAAAGGCAACGGTGCACAGTAAGTGGGAGGAAGGGCAGAAAACAAGTGACTTTCTTCCAGCTTCCATTTTTTTGACTGCAAAGAGAGAGAGACACTACCAATCCGTCCAGCAGTCCAAAGACTTCTCCCTGTATTGATCACACCCACAAGCTGTTCAGCCACCCAGAAGCCAGAGAGTTGCCACCAGGCTGATGGCAACCATTGACATCCACGACTGGTCACAAGCTAACCGGCTACTTGTTACCAGCCAAATCTCAGTCTACACACGCTCCTGTGTTGTGGTGTCTACAAACATCTTCCCCCGCCGCTTGAACAAAGCAGCAGTTATAACCACTACACACAATTTTTTTAAAAATTCGTTCATGGGATAATGGTGTCACTGACTAGGTCAACATTTATTGTCCTTCCCAATTGACCAGACTGCAGGTAAAAGTCAACCACATTGCTGAGGGTCTGAAGTCACACATAAGCCAAACCAGGTAATTAAGGCAGAGATAGTAAGAACTGCCGATGCTAGAGTCAGAGATAACACAGTTGGAGCTGGATGAACACAGTAGGCTAGGCAGCATCAGAAGAGCAGGAAGGCTGATGTTTCGGGTCGGGACCCTTCTTCAGAAATGGGGGAGGTGGAAGGGGGCTCTGAAATAAATAGAGAGGAGGGGTGGGGCTGGGGAAGGTAGGTGGGGTGGTGATAGGTGAGTGCACGTAGGCAGTGGTGGGGAGATTGGTCAGTGAGGTGGGAGGGGTGGATAGTGGGGGTGAAGACGGACAGGTCTCAATGTGGACTTTACTAGTTTCAAAATCTCCTCACCCCCGGTCTCATCCCATGACCAACCTCCCTCTCATCCCCACCTCCTTGACCTGTCCGTATTCTCTCCTACCTATCTCCCTCTCATCCCTGCCTCCTTGACCTGTCCGTCTTCTCCCCCACCTATCCGCCCCTCCCACCTCACTGACCAATCCCCACCACTGCCTACCTGCACTTACCTATCACCATCCCACCTACCTTCCCCAGGTAAGAAAGGCAGCTTCCTCCTTAAAAGGCATTAGTGAGCCCTAGATAATTTTAGTAATTTGTTTTCAAAAGTGCAGCAATTCCTTCCACAATCAGTCCTTTTTCCCATTTTAGTCTACAGAGATGCAGAAAGTAAAATTATACAGTCTTTACACATCTCATATTTACCCAGATTTTTCAGTCAGCTGTGAAGCTATGGTACTTAGTTCTGATCTAGAACAGTGCACCACAAGGAAATAGCCATTTCTGTGATATGGATTTCCTCTTTCAGAACACAGTTTGAGACAATGAATCTCTAGAGTTCTGGCAAACATTCATGTCGTTTAGCAGGATAACTAGCCAATCATATTTAAGTAGTTTCAGATACATCAAACCAGGAAGTTACAAGCATTCATTAGGCATTACTCAATTTTTTGGGAACAAGATAAATGATTGAGAAGTATGCATGAAATTAAGGAAGAAGCTAAAATATTATGAACTTTTAAAAATAAATGTTTTAATAATATATGGATTTTTAATCATAAAAAGATTAATTTGTAGAACCATAAAGATGAAATTAGTTTATCAGGACCATTGAAAACCAAGTTACATTCATTCAGCAAAATATGGGGGAGGTGATTATGTAATGGTAATGTCACTGGACTAGTAGTCAAGACAAGGTTTCAAATCTGACCATTACTGATATGGTGAAAACAAAATTCATTAAAAATCTGGAATGATATGTTGGCCTAATGGTGCCTGCGTAAGCACTATTGATTGCCATTAAAAAAGCTTCTGGTTCACTATTTTCCTCTAGTAAAGAAATCAGCTGTCCTTAGCTGGATTGGCCTACATGTGACTCTGGGCCCACTGCAATGTGAACAATTAGGGATGGGCAAGAAATGCTGGCCTAACCAGTGATGCTAATATCCAGTTAACAGAAAAGAAGTAATTTTGTTTCCTGTGTTTATACTGCAAGATGAACAATGTAAAAGGACACATTCTTGCCAGTTTAGTGATTGCGGGCTGGATACTTCAACAGCATGTGAAAACGTGTGGAATCACTCACAGCAACTTCCAAATTGTTGTACATGTGTAGACTGCAAAATTTGCTGTTAGTTTCAGAGGATTAATGAGAGAGAATGTTGAAAATTTCACCATTATTACCATGACAGAATCTACCAAATTATCTGCTTTTGTCAACTGTGTTTGAAGACAATGACAGTAAATACAAAAGCATGAAATTCCCAGACTGCCTCAACCAGAATATCATGACCATCAAACACTGCAGGGACAACTAAATGCTAAGCTAAAATCATTACTATTATTTTTGATGCAGAGAAAGAATTCAACCTTAACTTCTGAGATAAAGAAACCTTGAATTTCAAGGAAAATATTTAGTATGGTAGCAGATATCCAGATTTTCTGTTTCTTGATAAGAACGTCAGCCTTGACTTTTATTCCATATAAATATCCACTTATGTCAATGTGTATCGCCTTTACTAAATCAATGGCTTTGGATTTCAGTATGTTATTTTGGAAACTGAAAGATATTACATAGAAAATAATAATGTTACAGGCAGAAGAGAGGGGCAGATGAAACTCCTTTTTTCTTACCCCACTGCCATAAACAGTGTAGTAGAAAAGGCAGTGGTCTGTTTTGCAAACCTTTGTTTTGGTAAAGTTAATTTAAAAGTGACATGCAGCAAACTCTTAGACTTAAACCTAGAGTATTATTTATTCACGCACTCAAGTCCAGAGTGGTCTTCACAATTTTAAACACACACAAGCACACAAAAAAATACAGGAAAAGGAAGCGCTTTATCTACATCTGTGAGTATTACCCTTTCCAGGACAACTAAGGACAGGCAATCAATGTTGGCCATCCAGCAATGCCCAGGTCCCACGAGTGAATAAAAGAAAATAAAAATAAAAGTCTAATTATCAATTAATGCGAATGTCAGAGTCTGGTAATAGGGTTCTTCATTCAGAAATTAAAGTTCAAGTGAGTCCAGAAGACCAAACACAGGAGTTTGGGAAATCCTTCTAAGTTGGAGATGACACAACAAGGTTATGCAGGTAGACAGACAGGAGGCTGGAAGAACACAGCAAGCCAGACAGAATCTGAAGGAAAGGAGAAGTCAATGTTTCAGGTATTAGCCATCTTCAAGACTGGATAGGGGGAGCTACAGATAAAAAGAGGAGAGGGGGAGGGATAGCAGATAGTGGTGATAGGTGGACACTGGTAGTAGGTGTGATCTGGTTGGTTGATGGGAGGGATGAGTCCGGTTGGTGGCTGGAAGGGAGGAGGTGGGGCTGAAAAGGTAGCCGGGGGGATGGGTGGGAAGGTTATTTGAGATTGCAAAGGGGGATACAATAAAAATTGGCTGGGATGTAATGTCAAGGGGGGAGGTTGTGAATGATTACATTGGTCGTGGTCATCCCTTACGTGGGGGTTGGATGAAAAAGACAGGCAGATGCAGCTGCATATAGATAGATTGGGTGGGTATCTGGGGAAGTATGAGGACTGCAGGGTTAATGGAATATGTTATTAGGAAGTGGATATTTGGAGGTCACAGGTACATTCAGGCTGGGACTGGAAATCACTGGAAAAGGAACATTCACTGTCACCTTCCATTGTGCAGCAAATTGAAAGCACACAATGGGGAAGAAAATGGCCATGATCTCAATTAGAATGGGTGAGGTAAGTGCAAAGACCAGTCATAGGACTTTTAAAGAGAAAGAAAGTTGGTCACAGGACCATGCAATGTACAGACTGGGAGTTCTCCGGCAAGAGGATGCCTTTCCTCTGGAACTCTGCTGGCCAGCAGGGACCTCCAGTCCTTGTTGAAGAATCTCTGTGCCATTTTTCCCTTCTCTGAT